CAACGCTGAAAACAAAGAAGGCAGCTATTTTTAATAGAATAATAAATAAAATCATATGTTGTCCTTTAAATCACATGCATCGTCCAGACTTTAATAACAACGCTGAAAACAAAGAAGGCAGCTATTTTTAATAGAATAATAAATAAAATCATATGTTGTCCTTTAAATCACATGCATCATCCAAACTTTAATAACAACGCTGAAGACAAAGAAAGCAGCTATTTCTAATAGAATATTTAATAAATAAAATGTGAGTATTGCAGTATAGAGTTCTCATTTTAGAAAATATAAAAAAAGAAAGGTCAGCGTGATACAAAAGATTCAAATGTGTCATAAGTGTAACGATTTAAGCTTTCTGAACTTAGTTTGGAGTTTAATGTAAAATAACTGATAGTTTCAGTCATAGTAGGTTTTAGCACTTAGAACTGTCCTTTCATTTTAGAGGTAATAATATATTTGTTTATTTACAACATATATATATATATATATATATATAGAACACAAAAAGAGATAATATTAAACTTACCTGAAACTCGCGTAGTATATTCTTCAAGCAGGGATGGACCGAAGCCCATACTGGTGCTGGCTTCTATTGTCAACCGGTACGTCGATCCTGGATATAAGTCGATAAACTTGTGTGTGTTGTTCTTGGTGACATCCACTTCTAAGGAACTAAACCTTCCTATCATATCACTGTTGAAGGAATCTGTGATTGTTAAGTTCAACTGCAATATAAATAATATATTGTTAGATAAATTACTTGGTTTATGGAAAACAACTTACTGTGAGTTCTAAGTGACTTACTTCAATATAATAAAGAACGTGTAGTTAAACTTGATAAGCTTTTACCTTACTTTGCTCACGGTAAATCTTCATATGGTGCGAGAGAAGTCATTTACTGAACTCCAACCCTTACAGAGCTTCTTAGAGAATGCTCTATATTCGCAAGGCATTTAATCTAAACTCAGTTAACCACGTATAACGCTAAATATATATATATACACTTATCATTAAACTGAAAAGCTTTTCTCTCTCTTGAGCTCTCATGAAATATGCTTTACACCATAAATATCTAATACCAACAAACATTATTTTATAAAGTATAAAAACATGTCACGAAACAGCTTAACCTTCTTGATAAGACAAATGCGTGTCGTGTTGTTGTAGTGGTAAAAATGTGGCGAAATGGGTGTCAGTGACTTATATAAAGGGGAAGGATCGAACAGGAGAAAGGAAAAGGAAGACATTAACTGACAAGTAATTCAGAGGCATCCCTGGCCTAGGTGCGAACAAACGCCTTTACATACGTAAAATCGCGGTATCGAAACCCGGTTTCTAGCATTGTAAGTCCGCAGACATACCGCTGTGCCACTGGGGGGGCTATTATATATATATATATATAGGGTTAAGTAAGTTATATCAAAACGATTTTCAATATCAATTTGGGAAACCAGGTCTATTCAGAAACATACCTGCAACAAGTCGTATCTCAGTCCTGTTAAACAAAATGCGGTGCCGTGTAACAGCGGAAAATCCGCGAACACAAAGGTCAGTAGTAAATGCCGTCATCATGACCTAGGTAATAGTACGGAACATAAACAAAGAGGACCTTCTTCCGGAAAAACACCACAAATCAGGTGTATACAAGCTGCTTCTATGACATGTCAGTTCAACCGTCACATACCTCGTGCAGCTGGAGAATGAAACTGGTACATGTTGTTCCATAATAAAACATACCGGTAAAGCCTTTGAATGATAAAAATGTTGAAACGGGGGCTGAGAAACTGCCGTTCCAGTACACTAGATGGTGTGCTTTGGACTGTAAAGCTGCTGTCAATATTTACAACCCTCGAACAGAGCATGAGCGGACGTGGCGATATGGACTATAATGGTGTGGTGAGGCTCCAAGATCGTTTTAAAATGATGTGCTCAACTATCTGCATATACGTGTACACTTATCTAAGAAAGATGCACGACGAACAGAAACGAATCTTCTTGTGAAAATCCTGAAGACGCCTATGTAATCAATATTTACAACCCTCGAACAGAGCATGAGCGGACGTGGCGATATGGACTATAATGGTATGGTGAGGCTCCAAGATCGTTTTAAAATGATGTGTTCAACTTTCTGCATATACGTGTACACATATCTAAGAAAGATACACGACGAACAGAAACGAATCTTCTTGTAAAAATCCTGAAGACGCCTATGTAATCAATGTTGTAGAGAGAAGATATTAAGTAAAAGAAGCAAAAGACAACAACAAAGTACTTCGTGTGGTAAGGAGAAGATAAACACGATTCCAAAAAGACTAAATAGATTTGTACACGAATTAGTTTGGAAAAGTTTCTAAAAATCCATTCATAAAACAGGACTACTTTAGATTTTATAACATTATCTCAAACATCATCGTCACCATTATTAATTGCTTTCTAATTTCTGTTCCCCTCACCGATGTTTCTCAAAGTCACTTAAGGTGATCATTTCTTGCTTTGTACATCAAATCATTATTACACATTTACTTATGCAAAGCTAAGTACCAAATAGTAATTCCCCAAATGGTAACTTTTGCTGCTTAATTTGTAATCAAGTGTTTACGATCCTTGGTTTTGTCAGTATTTTCGCGTGCCAAATGTTCGACCTTATGGCCTTTGGCCAATGAAAATCTTGTGTCAAAAAGTAAGTAAGATATCGTAAGAGGATTTCAATCAATAACAGCGTCATCTTAGAATTTCGGTTTGTCTTCTTGTCATAAATTATAATATAGTTCTATTTAAACGGAAAAAAATGCTGGAAAAAAGCAATCAAAACTGAACTATCAAGTGATTCTGTAAATTGAATTTTAATTTATTTTCTCTTTCTGTTGCTTATTTTTAAGTAGTGAAATCTTACGTAATTAGTTCCTTACAAATCTTCAGTAAAATTCTCGAAGGACTTAATATATATATTTATTTATGTATCTTAAACATTAGTTTAAGTTGGAGTAAGTCTTTTTTCCTCGAGTACACTGCCAAGTAGTCTGTGTTTCAAAATACACTATTTATTATCACTCACCCTGTATTTCGTGAGGTTTCCGTTACTTTGGAATGGTTCTTGCCAAGAAACAGTTATGAATGTTTCACCTCTCTCAAGAACATGCATACTGTTCGGGGGACCAGGAGCTGAAATAGAATTTGTTTCTTTCTTTTTACTTTATTGTAATATATGATTTGTTGATGTATAAAAGCAAAGAAAAAATCTTGATTTTTTGTACACAGCTAGCTTATTTTATGTTAATCATCACTATGAAAGTTTGTTTTATTTTTTATAACAATAACTACCTCGTAAAAAATCCCAAAAGACGATTATTTCTAGAAACACAACAACAACGTACAATATATGCATAATGTTTATATATTTAAAGTAGATCGCAGAAGAGTTAAAAAATGACACGAACCGTTAAATAAAAACATACAAAGTCAGGACCTTAAGTTCTCTCTCAAGTCAGTTTAAAATGGAAGATTCCTAAGAAGGACCTGAGCAATTTCTTTCATACAAACAAGAACTGGCTTCATCACACTTACGTCCTGATAAAAAAATCACTTTAACTGTTGCTGTATTTTCTTTTACGGGTATTATCACGTGACTGTTTTGAAAACTACCAAGATGTAGGATTATGACCTAAAGATATATTTTTCCGATGTTTTCTTATTTGTGGTTATGGTACGGAAACTGAAATCTCAGAATTCCGATAGCGGCCTTTACTTCTTCTAACACTTTTTAATTCATTCATTATCCCATCATTCATTCGTTTGCCACCATCAGAGTGATTACTGAACAAATATACACCCTCTACTGGTTTATCCAAGAGAAACAGTCATTATAAGTACTATGTGGGTGGGAATAACCTTAATAGTGTTATGAAAGAAAGGGATTTTGGTGTAACAGTTGATCAGTCTCTTAAATCATCCAAGCAGTGTGCTGTTTCCAGTGGTAGGGCAAATAGGATTTTAGGTTGTAACTACAGAAGTATTTAATACAGGTCTGAAAATATTATAATTTAACTGCATAGGTCACTGATTAGGCCATATTTGGAGTATTGTGTTCCGTCTTGGACTCCCTACCTTACGAAAGACATTGAATTGTTGTAAAGGATTCAGAGAAGGGTTACTAGAATGGTGCCTGGGATGGAGGGATTGTAATATGAGGAGAGCTTGAAATCTCTCTAATTGTTAGAGTTAGAGGGGATCTGATTGAGATGTTTAAGATTGTAAAGGGAATTGAGTGTTGATGCATCATCTTTTTAATACCTAACACTTAGAACAGTAGGACTAGGAGACACAAGGTATAAACTTTGGCAAGATAGGATTCATCTTCAGCTAAGACAGTTTTATTTTTCTAACAGGGTGGTTAGCCTTTGGAATAGGTTACCTTCGGGTGTTGTGGAGGGAGTAAATTCAAGCGAGTTTAAGAAAACAGCTTGATAAGTATATGAATGATAAGGGTTGGCTTTAGGATTTTTTTAAATTATTTATTAATAGTTTTGTTTTAGTTTAGTTTAGAGGATGGGACACCCGAGATAGACCAATAGGTCCCATGATGTCCCAAAAGATTGTCATGTTATAATTAACCATCGCGGAATTTTGTAGTTGATCATTTTAAGTTGTTTTTTTTTAAGTAATTCAAGTATGGTTAGTTTAATTAGGAATAATATTAAACTTTCTCCTAATTATCATTAATGGCACTCGTTTAGTGCTTCTACACTTTACCTAAAGAACAACTGGGTGTACATATGCTAATGTAATTATGTAATTCAATACACTAATACAAGTTACAGATGATGGTATTGCTAAGACTTAAAAAGAAGAACATCTAAGAAATGAAAATAAACGTAAACATTTCGTTTAAAGATCTAACAAAGAAACTCACTGGATTCCCTCGTTTCGGCCGTCGCTATGTTGCTCCATTTACTTCCATACCGCAAGTTTCTGTTGTAAGCTTTGACCTGTTAATACACTCTGACGAATTATAAAACGGAACGATATTATTTCTGAATTTATGTTAAACTTGCAAGCTTTGACCTATTAATACACTCTGACGTATTATTTCTGAATTTATATTAAACTCGTAAGGTTTGACCCGTTAATATACTCTGACGAATTATAAAACGGAACGATATTATTTCTGAATTTATATTAAACTCGTAAGGTTTGACCCGTTAATACACTCTGACGTATTATAAAACGGAACGATATTATTTCTGAATTTATATTAAACTCGTAAGGTTTGACCCATTAATATACACTCTGACGTATTATAAAACGGAACGATATTATTTCTGAATTTATATTAAACTCGTAAGGTTTGACCCGTTAATATACACTCTAACGTATTGTCAAGCGGAACGATATCATTTCTGAATTTATATTAACCCCATACTAAATACAAAATATGACCATAGACTAGAAAAGTATAGCTGATTTTGTTTGTTCACAGAAAGGGTGTTTTTAAATACGGTAAACTGTGAATTGAGATTTCAAGACATATCTCATGTTTTTAAACTACAAGTTAGGCAAATGATTAACTTAACCAGTGGTTTATAAAATCATAATGCTATTAAGATACTTACAAAATAAAATATTACAATTTAATCTATTGTTAAGCACAAAGTTACACAATGGGTTAGATATGATGTGCTCAACACAGGTACTGAAACCTGGATTTTAGCGTATAAGCCTTCGGACATACTGCTGAGCCACTGGAAAAGGGAGCTAATATTACAGTTAAACATTATCATTGTAATTAATAATTATAGTATTTATTAAGCCAAAAAAGTAAAGCCTAATTTATTATCTCTTCAAGTCAATATATATATATATACAAGCAGAAGCCCGTTGAAATAATTCAACGGTAATTAGCTAAGTAGCCGCGGAGATTTTTTCCACTGGATGCCACCATTCCTTGTCGTTTTACTGGGCAAAAGAAAGGGCCGCAACCGAAGTGAGCGCTTTTTGACAGTTGTCATTTCTATAAAGGTGTCAAAGGGGGATATATTAAGTTCAATTCAAATCAATTTCCCGTTCATGCTCCTATCTTCGAAATATTTCTTTCAATCAGTCGACGGAGGAAATGTTATTTTCTTCGTGAAATCCCTCACAAATATGTTCTTAACTTTTTTCTTCCTCAAACTAATCATATGAATAGTGATGAATAGATGTTGATATCGATATGAAATTTTGGAAATTGCAAAAATAAAGACTTTTCCAGTAACGTACTCTCGAAAAGAAGCATTTTGATATATGTATATTATCTACGGTTAACTCTTCAGGAGATACAGAGCATGACAGACAGACATTTGGCCGTTATATAGATAAGTCTCTCGGTGAGTCAGCGGTAAGCTTACAGACGTACAATGCAAAAATCCGGGGTTTGATTCTCCGCGGTGGACCCAGCAGATAGCCCAATGTGGCTTTGCGCTAAAAAAACAAACATATAAAATAGACAAATAAACAAGCATCACAGTTTTTAAAAACCAACAAAGGTGTTACGATAATACCAAGTGCACATCAAGAGAACCCCTGATGCCGACAAAGACCAACAAAAGTGTTACGATAATGCCGAGTGCACATCAAGAGATCCCCTGACGCCGACAAAGACCAACAAAAGTGTTACGATAATGCCGAGTTCACATAAAGAGAACCCTTAACGCCGAAATCTTTGTTTCAGCTCTGGCTAAAATTTATTCACATTTGTTCTGTTTTTTCTATATGTACGTCACCTGTATTTATATATAAATATATATATATATAAGGTATTCTTGCGAAAATTATTTATATGCACACTTTAATAAATAAATCCCAAAATTTTCGAATAAGGGTTCGCATTTAATTTTGCTAAAATAATTCAATAATATTATAAGTAGAATAAGTATTATTGACTATTATAATTATTAATTATATAATGCAACGCACATAAGTTATCCACTTGTCTTATCTTCCGATTTTCATCCAAGGAAATCAAAAGTTATAAGACTTAAAACTATTGTATAATTATAGTGCCTTGCTACAATAATTTGGCCTCCCCACCCCCAATATAGTACAAAATATTAATTTTGGACAGAAAACGACAAATAAAGACAAGTATTAAAGTGATATTATCAATTTTAGTAAAAACAACTTTTATAGTGCAAAGAGCTTGACATTAAATAGACGAGATGTTGAACCATTTTGGTTTATATCCGTGTAAGTTTCGTTTAATTCTAACACGGTCTAGATGCTCCTACAAGTGTTCCACCGGATTCTTATCTGAAAAGTAAGCTAAATGTGGCCAAATTATTGTTATGGCAGGTTAGTGTAGATTTTAACGGAAATACAAACCTAAAATATTTTTAATATATTATATATTTTCCAGGAATCTGGAAATCAAAATCTTACCTTGATTAAATACTTGTAATTCGGTTTAAGATCTTTAATCGTATAACAGTGGTATCCTTCATGGTACGGGTTTTCACAGCTAACAACAACCACCATTTCGTATTTTCTATTACACTGTCTGCATGCATAATATACTTCGTAACTTTCAAGTTCCCCATTAGGAGGATAAGGAGGCATCCATCTGATAAATAGCTCGTTAGGTAGACTACTATATACTGTTAGATTACGAGGAGGCGGAGGATCTAAGAATAAATTTTCAAACACACACTCATGAAAAGAAAAAAAAAAACTTAACTGATATATTCAAAGGTAAGAAAAAAGTTATCAACTTATATCAGAAGTATCTCTTTTTAACAATAGTAATCAACACACACATATTTATATCAGCGTTATTTTATTCACAACTTCATTATTTATTTGAAATAATAATTTCGTTAAATACTAAATTTTTTATGGTTGTCGTTATCGTCGTCCTAGCCCGGCATGGGCAGGTGGTTTAGGTACTCGACTCGCAATCTGAGGGTCGCGGGTTCGAATCGCCGACCCACGAAACATGCTCGCCCTTTCAGCCGTGGGGCGTTATAATGTGACGGTCAATCCCACTATTCGTTGGTAAAAGAGTAGCCCAAGAGTTGGCGGTGAGTAATGATGACTAGCTGCCTTCCCTCTAGTCTTACACTGCTAAATTAGGGATGGCTAGCGCAGATAGCCCTCGTGTAGCTTTGCGCGAAATTCAAAAACAAAACAATCATCGTCCTAATATGTTTTTTTTTTTAATTATTAAGCAACTACTCTTGTCTCTTGTTGATTTTATTTTAATTAGCCATGGAAATTGCGGTTGTATTTGTTTTAGATTTCGTGCAAAACTACTCGAGGGCTATCTCTGCTAGCCGTGACTAATTTAGAAGTGATAGACTAGTGAGAAGGCAGTTCAACACTACCCACTGCCAACTCTAGGGCTATTCTTTTACCAACGAGCAGTGGTATTGACCGTCACATTATAATGTAGTCACGCTTGAAAGGGGGAACATGTTCATGGACGAGGATTCAAACCTGCGAATCGAGCGTTTCCGAACCACTAGGCCATGCCAGGCTCTTTGAAATTACAAAATCAACATTACAACTTGAGAAACATTAAAATACTTTACATAGACCCGGATACTTCAATTCAGGGTTAGCTTCATCATCAAAATCATAGTAAGAGGTTTAGAAAGAAAGACATAAGCTGGGTATTGAATCTTGATAAATTACCCAAAATATCCAGAAATAATGAAGACGATAAAGAAACATTTTGTATCTTTCTTTTTCTTTTTTTTTTAGTACCTCACATAAAATAAATACAAAATGTAAAATTAACTATCAACTTTCAAACCGCTAACTTTTGCAGAAATTATAAAACAATCAGTAAGTTGTGTGAATACCAATAACTTGTTATGCTTACCTGCAGCATTAGTCGTGGCATTTATTTCTGCTGACACATTACTAACTCCAATTTTGGTTGCGGCTTGCACCATGACTCTGTAAGTTGTGTGGGGAGTAAGATTTCTTATGGTTACTATTTGATCTGTAGTTATATCATTCCTAATTTCAGAGTCCCAGTCTTCGATACTCTGATAATTAATCGAGAAACCAGTGATTTTACCGTTCGTGAGCTCACATTTCGGGCTTTCCCATGAAATGCTCAGCCTTGTAGCCGTTTTCCTTTTTACTTGAAGTGTTGTGGGTGCACCTGCAGGAACTACAAAATAGAGTATTTTTCAAATAAAGCACTTCCAAATATTTCATCAGTAGAAACTTCTTTACAATTCATATAAAAAATTCACTTAAGGTTAAGAAATATGTTTGTAAATAAATAGAAAAACTAAAATAGCTAATAGACTGCTTAAGAATATATTTATAATTAGTCGGCTCGTGCTCTGTACGTTAAGAAACTTTTACGTGCTGACATATTCAAGATGACATATTTGAACATTATTACTGGTAAATTCTGTCAAAAACGTAAAACAGGAAGCTTATACTTTTCTGTACCGTTTGTACAAGCTGCTGTTATGTCTGAAATATCTTTTATGATTAGATGACAGTATTATTACTAAGTAAAGTGTAACCTTTTTTTAAAGTAATTAACACCAATCAATTTATATATATATATATAGTTAGTCTATCAAAGAAACTGGTATCTATTTAAATCATTAGTACAATATTAAAAGCTAAATTTTAGATATTTATATATAAGGGGAAAAAACCTCCGACTACATTCGAAAGAAATAAATGTGACCAAGGAATGATTTGATATTGAAAAAAAAAAGTGTATATACAATTAACACAATGATGCCTTTATTTTCCTACGTAATATATATCTTCATAATAAGAATAACATATTTAAAAATGTAACTTCATTGATGATTCATACCAGAACGTTAGAGACTTTTGGATAAGAATAAAATGATAAAAGATATACAAGATACATATGATATTTTTCCATAAAATACAACAAGGTCATAAATGCTGTTAAAGTAAAAATAATTCATGGAGAGGTATAGAAATAATTTCGATCCCTCTCCTCGTTGATAACAAGTATCCTTGAAGGCTTGTAACAGTAACATTTGAGTTCCAATACTAGCAGCAGACTGAATGAAGACAGTCCACTCTGCTAATTGAACTAAGAAA